GCTTATCTTGCTTGCCAGCGTTAAAAATCATACAGTCGTCTTTTTCTGATTCATAATTGCTGTTATGCAATAAAAAAGTAATCAGAATTATCTTTTAAAATTTTTTTGTCAGTAATCAAGTTCATCTACCCAAAACTTTCAGAACAGTATCGTATACAAATAATGCTAAGCTTGCATATATAGCAATTTGCCCTCTAGCAATACTTTGCATATATGTATAGAATAAATCTTAAATTATGTGATATTTACATAGTTTCTTCCACAAGCTTAATAACTTCGTTCAATACAATTAAGTGGTTTTACTCATGTGCAAAGTGTATACGAACCAGTTCCCTTAGAAAGTCCTACACGAAGGCATTCCTCCCTTTAGGCAGATAGCCTTAGTGTACTTTGCCGTAATCTCAATAAACCAAACCAAATCAATAAAATTACCAATAAAATTATAGCTCTTCGAAGCTCAGCATTTGCATCGCGTGCTTAAATTTTAGAAATCAGCACATATTGTTTGTTGAAACAAATTACACAAGATATTAAAGAAAGATGGCTACAGGCTTTAATTCCTTAAATTTTGGCATATTGTACCTAGACCTGAATTTTTCAACTATAAAACTTTCAAAACAAAGAAGCGAATTTTATGAAAACCGTTTCAGCATACAATGTTTCAATAAAAAGTCGGCTATAAACATAAAATCTAATTTTTTCAAAGATTTAGAATGAATCTCTGAGTACGAATTTAAGGATTTTGATTATTTCTCAATGCCTATTACTTTTGCAAATGAAAAATGTTCCGCCAAATTGCTTATTTAGGCAATTAATTAATATTGCTAAAGCAGCAATTGTTATTAAATTGCAGCTGGCCTCATGGAGATATTAATTACATATACCCTGCTTGTAATTTGAACCTGTAGGTATTGAATATTTTGTATTTAATGCATAAAAACTTAATAAACGCTTTATTATTAGGTTTCTTGCTAAGCTAGGACTTAACATAAAAAGACGTTTTTCCTATTTGCAGAAACTTTCAGCACAGTGCTGAAACTATTTTCATAACTTCCTTATTTTATTTCTAGAAATTTTGTAATTGGAAGTGCATGCCGTAGTCTGTTACTTTAAAAAAATACACTTCAAGACGATTTTCTCCAAACCAGGATTCATGACCTTGGTAACTATTACTGGGGGAAAAAAAGTTAAATTCTGTAAAATGCTGAAATCTCCTAGTGCGAATTGACGACACATTATGGTTGTAAATGAGAAGAGGATCTTTACGACCTTGAAGGACCTATTTTAAAGTAACAGATCATAAGGACAATTTCTAAGGAAATAATACGTGTAGTCGCCTTTTTAGATCACCTTGTATAAAAAGCAGTGCAAAATTGATATATGTTCTTTGCTATGTTTATCAACTTTTCGTTTATCTCACCACGAATGTATCTGACGACATTTACGGGATCACGAATTTTGTCTATAAAATACTTGCAGAGTCATTAGGGTTTTCGATGCTTGAGACGTGAAAAATGTAGAATGCGCTGGCGGGGATTCGAACTCTGTACTTCCCGAATAGGCGTCGAGTTTGCTACCAGTTACACCACGAAGGCATGGGGAAAAGTGGGAGAAAATACTTATATACGTTATTCTACTAAGAAAAAAAATTAAATCTGTATTTAAAACGTTAAATTTTTATCATATACGTATCAAACATTATGTTATATTTACAACCATAATGGTACGTTTTCAAGACAACCTTAGTTATTCTGAATTTATGATTACATTTCAGTACCTGAAATGTGTTATTTGTAATCATAGTCATGAGATATCTAAAAGTTTTTCCTCTAACTGAAGCCTACGGTACTCAATAATATTGGTAATTCAGCCCTGATGAGTTACTCCATTCATCTTCCCGTCTTAAACAGAATTGAAAGGCGATTGGATAAGCAGTTACGTTGTATAATGCATTGTTATCATATAGAAATGGTACAAAAAATCCTAAAATAAATACTATACTTTTTTACAAAATTAAAACACTAAAAATAGATATAACTACTGCATTTTAGTATGCTATTTTTTTAGCCCAAAGGGCTTTAGATCAGAAGGGCTATTAATTTCGTTTTGGCATTTTGCGTTGATTCAATATAAGCGGCGAATCAGTTTTTAAATTGTTGCCACCAAATATTAGAACCCTGTATTATATTTAAAGAATATAAATAATGAAGAATCTGCATAAATATATGTATGTTTCTCGCATTGTGATAAAACAACGGTACCTAGAGCCATCAAATTTTGCATAACGTTCATCTCCACCCGAATATGCGCATCTCGAAGCTCAAATTCGGAATTTGGAATTTGTTTTATTACCGATTTCCCATTTTCTAAAACTTTAACGAATTTTTGATTAACAAACTCAACGATTTCAAAGCGAGCAAACGGCAACTCTTGTAAAAAAAAAAAAAAAAAAAAAAAAAAAAAAAAAAAAAAAAAAAAGTTAACTGCGCGAGACTGTGTATTGGGCGTGCTAAAAATATGCCCTTTTAAATATTTTTTAATATTGCTATTGAATTGAATTTTATGGTTTAAGTGCGAAAACCATGATATTTAATAGATAAAGGTAGCACACAAAACGTTAAAAGTACGTCCCTTTGGGAGTAACATAAAATTTGAAAGCTTTTTATTTATTTTTTATTTTATTTTATGTTTTAAGTCCAAAGGGACTATGTCCCTCAAGGACTATTGTTTTCGTTCTGCGATTTTGCGTTGAATCACTATAAATGTCCGTTTCACTTCTCAAACTGTTGCCACCCAATGTTAGAGTCCTGCATTATATTTCATGAAATTAAATAATGAAAAATCTGCATAAATGTAGGTATATTTCTCGCATTGTGATAAAACAACGGTACCTAGAGCCATCGAATTTTGAATGACGTAATCCTCCTAAGAATATGAGCACGTGGAAGACCAAATTTGAAATTTGGAATTTGTTTTATTATCGATTTCATATTTTGTAAAACTTTAACGAATTTTTGATTAACAAACTCAACGATTTGAAAGCGAGCAATGGCAATACTCTACGGAAAGACAAAAAAACCTTTTCATCTCCAGCGCGCGGAACTGTGTATCGGAAATTCTAAAGATATGCTCATTTTAAAATTATTTTGCGACATTGCTATTTAACCTACCTTAAAATTCAGTCTATCTGAAAATTAAAAACCTTAATAAAATCTGAAAGGTAAAAATATGAAACCTTTCAGATTTTTTTTAAAAGTTACAATAATAAAATTACTTCATTAAACTATTACAGGACGCAGACCTTTACAGAGTTATACGCAAGCCTTTGCAAATTGATATAGATTACTCATCAATACAGTCTTTTACTAAATGATTGTGAATTTGGAGTTATCAGATTATGGCAAAGCACACTAAGGCTGCGGGATCTCTTCGTGAAGAGCTTTCTGAAGGAAATTTAATATTTACTTTGCATACGGGAAAGTCCTTGCGAAACAGAAAGTATTACGGCGTTAAAGAAAGTGATAACGTACACTCTGAAAAGCTCAGTAAGTAGTCCTTCCCCCAGAAAAAACCAATTAAAATCCTGGTCAGGATAACGGTAAGTTTATACGGTATTTCTCTCGTCTTCTTAGCCAGCCTTCGTGGTGTGGTGGTCTGCACGCTAAGCGCGTAATTGAGAGGTCCTCGGTTCGATTCCCGGCGAAGGCGTTGCTAATTTTTCCTCTTGCCTGCTTCCAAAACTACATAATGTCTCTACAGGTTTCGTTTTTTGAAAATTTATAAATCATTTCGTTAGCAATAAGGACAATATTTTAAACCATAATGATAATGAAAATTCTAATAATATTTTAGTAAGAGAATAATAATTTCTATTAGGAACTGAATGTGTATGTCAAGTAAATCGAAATGCAGTATATCGGGAGTCAGTTGTATTCGAACAATAAAATAGAATGAAAAAAAATTTAATTTGAGCATTTCGAGCATACTTATTCTATAATGGCATTAATCTAAACTGCCCACGTTCCTTAATTCCAGTATCAAAATAATTATCCGGATGGTACAAAAGAACTGTTATCAATAACAAAACAGTGAATAGTATTCCTAGAAATAGCCTTAATGAACCATTCATAAAACTGATATATTAATGCAGATCTCGCTTTTTAATCGAAAAGGTGATGTAAGATTCAACTTTGGCTAACATAAAAGCCTTTAGCCGAAATAAAATTTTATCAATTTAAGTGCTCACCTTAATTTAGGATATGTTTGGTAATATTAATTATCATAATATACTTTATAACATTAGCTTTGCAACATACTCCCATATTTCTTTTAAATTTCACTATTTATATATTAAAACACTATTTAAAAAATTTCAGCAATGCTTGGATGCCGTGTTTTTATATTTTTTTCCGCATCTGTCATTTTTCATTTATTATGAAATAAACAAGTTCAGTTTATTTCATTAAATATTTTTTGTTACATTTATTTTCCATTCTGAAATGCCTTACAAATAATTTGCATTTTTCACTTTGATCATTCTGACTGCTCAGACATAGAAGGAAATAATTCATTTTGTGTATAACAGATAGAAGCAAGTTTTCGTTTTTATTGCCGCCGTGATGAAAATGTCATCTTTCAGAGCTCGGACTGTCTGTTTTTATCTCTTCAATCCGTCTTCGCCAAATGCCATTCTCATCTTCGCCAACTTAAAACACCAAATGAGTCGCAGCATATCGAAGGCAATGCACTGCAAAAAGAAGAACACCCTTAGGCCGAATACGTAAACAGCCGTGCCAAAATTAAAAAAAAAAATTCTCCAAAGCGGGGAAAAGAACCTGGAGAAAAAAAGAAAAAAGAAGTTCCTTAGGGAGGGTCGGATAATAAAGCAGTGAGAAAGAAGGAGGGATAGAACGAACGAAAATATAAGGGGGGGAAGAGCTGAAGAAGGTAGGTAGCACGAAAAGCTGCAGTAGCCAAAGGTAAACCTGTCACTCGCACTGGTTTCCGGCCCCGGGGTCTGTGTAACGGCCTCACTTCTCGGATGGCCTCAGTTCAGTTCGCGTAACCAGTTCGAGTAGTAAGCTACAAACCAGCTCTCTTACTCCCTCGATCGTTCTTCGGGAATGAGACGTTCTCTCTGTTGCTCATGGTGAGCTCTCTCAGTTATGAACTCTTTGGATTCCCATTTGCGCTCGTGTTTTGATAGATGCATTCGGAAGTGATAAGGATTTTGGGATAGTAAGTAAGTAAGTAAATTGTACATCTATCTTTGAGGAGCTTTAATTATCATTGTGATACACCACAATTTGCAAATATGTTGCTGAAATTAATGACTCTGTGGTGCGCAGTGAGCGCCGTTTTAGTATTTTGTGATGATCACGTAGAACATGCTGTCGTTGAGAAGGATAATAGTGGAGACAATATGAGTTTACCTTCTGATGTTGGAGTAGTATCGGACACTGAAATTCATTCGAAAAATGACAGTGATCTATCGGCGACGACAGTTGGTGCGACCTCTTCCGAGTTACCTATTGATGCTACTGTATCAACGACCATCTCTTCGAAGGATTTGGAAGATACTGAAACCAAAAGCCCGACGACTGTTTCTAATCCCCCTATAGCATCTACCACTTATAAACTTGATCCCAAGAAAGATACTAAAAAGAAAAATAAGATGGCTTTCAAGAAAAAAGATAAAAACTACGAAGACGAAGTGGTTGTGGAAACTACAGATAAATCTGAGGAAACTACCCCTACCGTTAAAACTACCACTTTCGTGGAAACTACTACTTTCGCGGACTTCGTGGAAACTACTACCCCTTCTGTTGAAATTACCTCTACTACTGATGAAACGCACGAAACGGTTCAAGATATGCATACTACGATACCACCCGTTACCCACACTGAATCAGTAGATGATGCTGCACTAGAAACAACGACAATTATGCATGCACAACCGGATATGTTGCATATGGATATGAAAGAAGAGATGGTATCTACCCCACAAGAGGATATTTTAACTAAAGATATGTCTGACAGTGTTGTAGAGACAAAATCAGCAGAAACTACAACAATGCAAGATCACCAGTTTGAAACAACAACGAATCTTCACGAAGGAACAATGGAAGAAGAAGCAAAAACAACGTCTCCTTCGGTTGAAACTGACATGTCGGTGAATAATGAAACAACATTAAGTCCTCGTGTTACAGACATAACAACAACGCCCGGCGATTTAATTGTGACGGAAAACAACAATCGTGATGCGACAACAATTAAGACTGAAACAATTGATGTTTCTAAGGTAAAAGTTAAAAAATTAAGAGAAGATGACAGTAGCGATGTTCAAAATATCTCCAATTTGACAACAGAACAAGAAGACGAACTTAATGGTCTGGGCAATGATCTAGATGACAAACAGAGAGAGGTGACGACATTTTCGGCCACGATGAATGAAGATCAGGAGATCACTACCACGATACCCCTCAGTGTACGCAAACAGAAACAAATGGACCTTGGAAATGCGGAAGAGTCGTGCCCCTGTAACGAACCTAAGATTACTTTTGACCCGTCGAAATGTGCCGGCGAGAGGACAACTCCTGATCCTAACTGTCCTTGCCGCAGCGTGTGTGCTAGGCAAAGCGGAGAGTCCTGCTCTCCAGGTGAACCTTGCGACGAAGAATTCGGTTTGCAATGTAATCTTCAAAATAACACCTGCCATGGTAAGTAAACACACAACAATAATTTTTGTACTATGCTTTATTTATTATTATTCTCAGGTGTTTATTCTAAAATATGAAATTATTCTGCGTTCTGAATGAAACTAAGCTTGTCCAACGATAATGTAAATTAAAAAAATATAAATTAAAATAAAACCTCATAAGAATTCAGAGAAATAAATGTACCCTCTGAAATGGCTTTTGAAAAAAAATGTCTGTCAATTTATCAAAATTTCTTTTTGATAAATTGGAACTGCAAAATAATTGTGTTCTGGGGGGAAATAAAATCTATTTATATGCTTAAAAAGTTTATTTGTGTCAAGGTAGTTCAAAATATTAAATGAAATACATCTGATGAATTTTTGCACTTTGTTCCTGATACAGTTCATTCATGTGAATTTATTTTTTAATTAATTTCCTAAAAAAGGGGGGAACACTTACCCCCCCCGTATAGTAAGTATATTTGCATCTTAAATTTAAATTATATGTTACAAAAGTCAACTAATTCGAACTACAAACTGAAATGTTCCTTTAGTATTAAAATTTTGGTTCGGCTTAACTACTTTTATATACTACTTAGAAATGGAGTATGTTTACCAATGGGGAACTAATTAAATTAACTTTTTAGATCTAGTGAAAAATATTTCATTTAAGACTTTTTTTTCTCTTATTTGAATGTAATTCCAACAAAAAAAAAAATGCTTTCTGGTAAAATAACCTGGTAGCAAAATTCTCTATTTTTTTATGGTTACTCATTTGCGAAATAAATTATGTATATCATTTGAATCAGTAAGCACTGTATTTCAAGCTAAAAAGTGATTAGTTAGTCAAATTCCTTAGCATAAACGGATAACTTAAAAAACATTAATAAGAAAGGATTTGATTTTGGACTTTTAAATTCATAATTCTAAGAAAGAAACACGTTGTAAGCCATTCGAAATAAAAGGTAAAATTTTTTAAGTATTTCTGACGTTAAAAACTGATTCTTAAAAGTCACGTTAAACAATAAAAAATGCTTTTTAAAAGTCTTTCAGTATCTTATTTTCTAATTTTAATATACATTTGTGTATATATATACATATATCTTATATAAAGAAAAAACAAATTATGGTTTTGTTTAAAAACCTATGCGATAATATTGTTTGTTTATATTAATTATTATTTTTTTGTATCACATTCCAGATTTTTAATTCATATTATATAAAGGATATTCTTTTTAAAAACATATTTAAAGAAATACATGAAAGGTTTTTTTACATTCTAAATAATGCAAGTTTTAGCAACATAACATTTCTTGCTTTTGAAATACTATTTTAAATTAAAATATGCATGCACGTCCTCCATCTTTATTGAATATGTTTCAATTTGTGCATTTCTTTCATTTTATGTAAATAATAATTGATTCTATTATTTCAAGTTTAAGACTATAATAATATAACGTAACGAAATACAAATCTAATGCTCATGATATTTTTAATATTTAATGCTAATAATTTTCATCGATAAATAAATACATATATGATGCGTCAAAATGTCGCTGAAGATATATAAAAGCTAACGTTACGTCCTTGAATTCACATTGTTGAAAGATGACTTGTACATTAGAAAAATATTAATTTAGAAGTATCGGGTTCTAATCGTCATTTGCAACATTTACTCTTTATATAATATTGCATTTCGAAATATAGTTTGCGATTTTCAGAAAATAATTGCAGGGAAAATAACGCTTTTTCTCGCTGAAATGTTTTTTTCTCTGCCAGGCTATGACAAATTAAATTTGGTGAATTTTATTAAAGAGTTTCAAATGAATAAAGGTTTTATAATAGAAATTCACTTTCTTAAATTAGATCGATGAGTTCTAAAAACAACATTTGAAGAAATGTTTAGCCATACAAACTTTCTAAAATAAATCTCCAATACTCTATTCATGATGGTATGTTCATGTTAAATATTGCACTTCAGGCATGATTGTAAGTATGTGATGTTAAACAGCTGTACATGTTAAACAGCTGTTTCTTAAACTTCAAAAATGTTTAGTTCATATAGCACAGTTTGAAACATTTCTTTAACTCACCATTAAATTAAAAGGCATCAGAGACTGAGTGAGCTTAGATCATTTGAAAAGGTTTAGAGGATTATTAAAAAAATTTATGAAGAGTTAACTCTTTTAACACTTTGCTGCATAAAAGATAAACTGTAAAAGTGTTTCTTGGTTTTTCCATACGGTTAAGAGTCTTCCACCTAAGCAGTATTTACTGCACGAAACGCTAGGATATCTTAGTTGATTAATGCATCTCTAATTAATATTCTTTTTATCTCTGAATTGCTTTACACTCAGGAAGAGACTCACAAATAGTCATATCTAATGGTCAATATTTTTTCATATTTAATCCCAAAATTTCAGTAAAACTATGCATCTTATTTTGTTTCAGTAACTAAGACTACGGTCATTGTCTGTTAGCTAATATATTTCCTTGGAGGATAAATGGTTATAATAGTTTTTTATGAGTATGTATGTAACTTATTTAACCGAAACTGTACATGAATATAGTTAAAAAAAACAAGAAAAGTTTTGTTTTTAATAATATTTCAATATATATACATAGTGAATCTTCTCCAAGATGAGCATTTACATTTCCAGATGATTTTGGGCTTCTGTGGAAGTAGTCACCATAGAAAAGTGATATTCAATACTGATGTTTACTTAAAGTTCTCAAAAATATATTTGTCGTTTACAGAGGTGGCCATTATAGAGAGGTGTCATCACGAGAAGGTTAATTGTGTACATACATATGTATGCTCATCCACTAAGAGTTCACAAAGGATACTTATGGTTTTCAGCTTGAACAATTATGTAACAATATTTTTTAATTGTACTTTTGTTGGTTCCTTTAATTTAGATTTCGAATAAGTTCAGAAACGTAATAGGAATGTAGTAGATTTATAAACATGTAAACTAAACAGTAAATTATATATATATATATACATAGCTAAACAACAATAAATTATATACTAACTACTCATAATTATATACTCGACCGCCCAACCGAGATAGTGGTTAATGATTCTGACTGCCTTACCGAAGGCCCTGGTTCGACTCCGGAGAAGACATGGATGTTTATAAATGTATAGTACCTGTGCGACATGGAGGGCAGATTAAATATGCGGTGAAGTCCTCTCCGGAGGTTGGTGATAGAGGAAAAGGGAAGCGAGACCCTTTGACCGGTTCCCCCGGCCCGGAGTGTTCTTTCTCTCTCAAAATCCGAGCCGGAACTAACTGACTATTCTATCATCTTGGCACTGTAGGGTTTGTACTAACCTTTTATTGAAGAAATTAACGCCAGCTCGAACGCCGCCCAGATCTTAGGAGCATTTTCTGGTCTAGCTGATACCTTGTCTTTTTCATTAATTCCATTAAATATTGCATCATTCAGTGTATTCATAGTGATATTTTATCACTGGTCAAGCTAAAGGTTCTTATAAATCCTCCTATTAACTTGAAAACTAAATTAATTAGTTTTAAAAAATTATATAGAGAGATATGTACTCTCATTTGTGCATATTCATTAATTTAAACTACTAATGCGAAATTATATACTTCTCTTACTTCCCTCATGATTCGAAATGTTAAAACATGTTCCACAAAAAATAGGGTCTCTGCACCCAGGTACCCTGGTGTAAACACCACTCAATCACCTAGGCTATGGTGCTTAAGGCTTGCCAAACGACAGGTGTATTTGACTGCTTGCCACAATAAATGCCGTGGACTTGTGCTAACCTTTCTCAGACAAGTAAGATTGGATCAGTGTCCAACTAGTGAGAAAGACACAACAACTTTTGAAAAAGGAATATAAATACAGACTTTAAGATATTTATGTGTAATATATATATATATATATATATATATTGCCCCCCTTCAAAATTGCTGCTACTTGCTTTTTAAGTGTCTGTCGGAAATTGGCAAAACTATTGATATCTTAGCCTCCTCATCACCGACGGCAATTGCTCGGCGTGCACCGACATTAAACCCGCGTGAAGCAGGGGAAAAGCTCGCACAAACAACCCAGCTTTGAGCGGGACTCGAAACCGCACCTTGAGATTTGAACTAGCGGTATAAGCTGACAACTATATCGTATATAGTTGCTAGGTCAATTGCTTCAAAAACATATAATTAAAGATAATGACTGATTTAGAGCTCTATTCGCCTGAAGTGTAAACCGAAGACCAATTAACATTCATTTTCGGAACATTTTGGAGCTTTTACTAGTTTATTCTAAGTTAAGATTTACGCCATTTTTTCATGCAAACTTTTCCTTTATTTCCTCATGAAATATTCTCTCATTCCTCATTTCCCTCATTCCCCTCTACATGTTATCATGTAGCTTCTGCATACTAACTACCATCTGAAATTTTCATGTTACAGTGCTTTTATACTCGTTTTCATTCTCCGTATAGTTGGATCATGAAGAAAACAGCTGTTATACTTTCTAAAATTGCACATTAAGGAAACTTTACTTTGAGTAAATGTGATCCTCAGTTCAATACCCTCAATTTCTTGAAATAGTTCTCAATGGACGTGATGTAAAGCAAATTATAATAAGCATGATCGATTCAAAAATTTCATCCACGTGCGTTTGTGGATGCGCATCGCCGAACGAAACAAGGCAGCGGAAACCGTCGCATCCTCTGTACTTTCGGAGAGACTCCTCCCCCACCCCCTCCGTCGGCGCACAGTTGAGCGACGTTCACCGGTTCATCAGCGTGTATGCAACTAACGTGTATGCAGCTAACTCACTTTACCGTGAAGTGATGAAACACTTGACATACCCGACACGCACTTGTCTTTTTCCATCAAGGGTTTTCTCACGCTATGTCAAGATACATCTTTCGATGATGATAATTTTTTTTAGTGATTGTCTTTAATTCTCCATTCCAAGGTCAAATCACCATTTCCTTTGTTTGAAAGACTTATTATCGGAATATCTCGATGGTGAACGGATCTC